ATTGTAGAATAATTTATATAAAATTGTTACTATTTGTGTTTGGAAAATAAATGTTTTTGATTTCTCGTCTATATATTTGTATATTTTTGTCCTGGGTATATCGTTAAACTGCACCCGGTCCTCCAACTCGCAGGGAAACAATTTTTGGGGGTTGGTGGTGAGATTGGCACTCCAGCCACCGTAAAACAACTCACAACTGACCATCTTCCTCTTCTGTCGGGGGAGCTTTGTTAACTCTGTGTTTCAGTGGCAGCACTCTCTGAGATACGCAGACTGGGGAGTGGCCAGATCTACGTACTTTTGGCCTGGTTTGTCTGACAGCTGCCATACTGAGGGAGTAGCCATTGCTGTAACGGATTGGCTCCTTCTGATGGTGTCTGATGTCACTCCTTTCAACGAAAGACTCAGGCTAAGGCACTCCTTGGGCATCTTGTCTGTTGTTTCAGAGTATGCTCAGACTGCAGTTAGTGATGTCTCGATGAGGAAGACATTTTTCTCACAACTTCGCTCGGTGAAGGAGATTGATCAGATCAGATCCTGGTGGGCAGACACTGGAGGCTCCTGCAGAACTGCATCGTCTACAGAAGTGTCCAGTTTGTGAATTCTGACCACAGACTAGTTGTTGCTACTCTGAAGATTCAGCTTAGATCCAGTAGGCTACCACCTACTAAGAGAATGAGGCTGGACTTAGCCAGACTCCAAGATCAAGCTGTTTCTGATGAACTTATACGCAGTTTGTGTGAGGAACTTGCAGACCTGGGTGTGACTGCTGACTGCTGATGTGACAGACCTTCCATGATAAGGGCTGTGTTGGTGTTGCCAGTGTTCCCAGAAGGAGGTGCTTCATCTTGCAGGGCACCCTGGATATTATCGAGAGGAGTCGCAGCGCACGACTTGGTGGTAGTCTGTACCAGGAGCTGAGAAGGATGGCTGTGAGGGCTCAGAAGGCAGATAAGGAGGCATTTGTTAGACAAATTTGTGAGCAGGTGACACACTATCTGAGACTTGCAGTTAGGGCGGCTGATGGGACGGTCCTTATGGATGGAATTGCAGTTGTGGCCCGCTGTGCCGGCTACTTTGAGCGGCTGCTTAAAGCTGACCCTCGAGCCAGAATGTTGGACATCTCTGGGTCTACGGTTCTCAAGGCTGATCCTCCAATCAGCTGTGAACCACCCTATCTCACAGGGCTTGCAAGGGTGGTGAATCAGTTGGGGGCAGGGAAAACCAGAGGGATCTGTGGTATCTGGGGTGAACTTCTCCAGGCTGGAGGTAAGATTGTCCTCCTGGCATTGCAAGCAATCTTTGCTTCCATTTCGGAGTCAGGCGTCATCCCAACTGACAGGAAAATGGAACTTGTAGTCCCTATCTGGAAAGGGAAGGGTGATCGCCTGGATTGCGGCAACTACATGGAGATAACACTGCTTTCGGTGCCGGGGAAGGTCCTTGCTAGGGTCATCCTTAACAGGATCCATGATCACTTACTTGCCTGTCAGAGACCGGAGCAGTCTGGTTTTATGCCTAAGAAGTCTACCATCTACCGTATCCTTGCACTGAGGGTTCTCATCGAGTGCAAGCGTGAATATTGGCAGAGATTCTTTGTCAATCTTCATAAAGTGTTCGACTCAGTTTGATCGAGTTGCCCTGTGGGACATTCCGAGACTTCACGGGATCTCCCTGAAGTTACTGGATGTCATGGCCGGCCTATACACTGGTAATGTGAGTGCTGTGCAGAGTGGACGAAGAACCTCGCCAGGGGTGTGTTCTTGCTCCTACTGTTCAATGCTTGTATGGACTGGGTGTTGGGCAGGGTTGTGGGGTCCAGCAGCAGTGGGGTGTCAGTTGGTGAAGAAAGGTTTACTGATCTTGATATTGCTTACAATGCCATGAACTTAGAGGAGTCAATGGAGGCTCCGATTGGGGCTCTCAAGAGACTGATCGAGGAGTCTGAGTGTCTGGGATTGTGGGTGTCCTGGATAAAGACCAAGATTCAGGCATCAGTTCTTAGGCACAGCAATCAGTAGTGTGGCTGTCTGTGGGGAGAATCTCTGTGGGGAGATTTACCTACCTCAGCAGCGACATTCATGTCTCTGGTGAGTCTTCCTATGAAGTCAACGGATGGTCTGGAAGACCATGGGGAGTCACAAGGTCACTGGAAAGGGGTGTGTGGCACTCCTGATATTTTTGCCAGTGGACAAAGGTCCAAGTCTTTAGAGTCCCTGTCTTGCTATATGGCTGTGAGACATGGACGCTATCCAGTGAGCTGAGATGAAGACTGGACTCCTTCGGTACTGTCTCTTCAGAGAATCCTTGGGTACCGTTGGTTTGACTTTGTGTGGAATGAGTGGTTGCATGAGGAGTCCCGAATGAGGCACATTACCTGCATTGTGAGGGAGCATCAGTTACAGCACTATGGCCATGTGGCGCATTTCCCTGAGGATGATCCAGCTTGTTGGATCATCATTGCTAAGGACCCAAGTTACTGGACCAGGCCGAGGGGACGCCTACGTAACACTTGGTTGCGGCAGATGGGTGGCCTTTTCCGGAGGGTGGGACGGGACCTTGTATCTGCCTGGGGGAATCACCAGCTGGGATCCTGAGGAGTTTCGCTGTGTGGTGGGTGCGGCAACACACTGCATCAGCGCATGCTCCCCAACCTGACGTAACTATACCTAACTTTCTACATTAAGAAATTATTTTTTTTTTATTTATTTTTTGACTAGTTAAATTCTTTTCGGGTTACCAAAATTTGAAGGTTGCCTGCCCAAAGGATTATCAGTGATTTTGAAATTTTACAAACCCTGGATACTGATACTTAAACAATACCACAGCGAAAAATTTAAACATCAGGAAAATGAATGGATAAATAGGAGACAGAACACAAAACTTAAATTTATATTATTAATTAAATTACTTTGTCAATATCAGTCAAATTAAATAAAATACAGGCTATATTGTCACAGGTACAAAGCTATACTGAACATGTTTCAACAAAACTAAAATATTCAGTTGCAGCTGCTGAGCTATACAGCCATTGAACATGTTTTAATACATTTATAACACTGATAATTGGATTATTGTAAATAATTAGATCAAGGTCATGGTGTTATTAAAGGTTACATGGTATCCAGTATTGTCCCCTACACTTGAGTTTGTGTGCTTTCTTTTACAGTTCATTAAATTTGCAAGATGTCACTTAATCAGCAATACATCTCCTTGGCAGACGTCTGCATTCTACTGAGTAATAGTAATAGAGGATATTTACACAAATGTACTGCATACCATGATTAAATTAGCTAAAAAGATTACCTAAAAAGATAAAGTCAAATTAAACAGGCTATCACTGCCCTTAATTTTGCCTCTCAAACGATACTACAGCAAAAAAACTGTCACTAACTGAAGTGGTAAAAAGTTCACTTACAATTACAATATATATTGCACATGTTTGATATACTTCAGGGACAGGCCTGATAATCGTCATGTAGTGCCTGTGGGCTTGCCCTGACTGTTGACAACGCAAACAAAACATTGCCATATTTCGCTTCATACGTCTACTTTGGCGACAAGCTGAGGACACTTGGCAACATCACTTGTACTTGCAGCCATGACTCTCTTGTAATGTTTTGACGTTGGCAAATGATTCATTCGCGGGGAATGAGTCCCTTACAGGAACTATACACTAATTCACTTCCCTGTAAATATTTGGGGTGTTTCTCAATATGTGTACTTGACCGTGAACTTGACCGTCTTAAATACCGATACTAATAAAACGGAAAATAGTATCGTTTTTAACGACTGTGTATTTTTGCGGTATTTTTCAGTGTCGGTATAACGCGCAAAACGATTAGAATGTTGCCGTAAAAGCATGGGGGTTGCTGGGGGTGGGGTGACACACCCAATCGAGACCATGGGGCCTGGCGTCTCTCTCAACTTCAGGTAAGGCGCAATAATAGATTCGAAAATACCTTTAAAGCTTTTTTTTCTCTCCACTGATGCTCTTCACTCAGAGGACAAAAATGCTTCTTTGATAGTTAATGCCGATGAATCACCTGCATGTCACAACACACCTAAGAAACAGAGCGCTATTATTTACAGGTCGGCGTATAGTTCAGACAAACGCCTGATGAATCCCAGCATTCACGGTATTCGTAAGAACGAGGAAAACAGCTTGAGGAAGAGGGGGATCCGGCGGATTCATCACCAGCTACCAAACGTGGGACAGAGACCTACGCTTCTGCTTAAACAGTGCTTATCATAGTAAAACCAAACACACGAAAGTGAACCGGTGTTGTCAAACTGCACTCACTTCCAAGAAAAGGGAGGCGGCTACATACTAGTCACAAATTCCTAAATATTTTCTAATATTTGTAATTACGGGTTGGAAAACAGATACACGTGTAAGAAATAAAACCTACTGTGGGATCTGGAGAGGAGACCTGGTAAAGTTAACACATAATGTATGGTAGCAATCAATAACCATCACTTCAGCACTGTGACAGCCGGTTTTGGGGTCTCAACCAAAACAGCGACATATATTTTACTGTGTTACACCCCAATATACTTCACACACACAACCGGCCTAGTAACGCAATACTATGATTTATAATCTGGCATAAATGGGTACAATAATAAGATGCATTAGATTGCTGTTTTTATGACGAAAAAACAGGGGACGCAATTTCTCATGAGAAGGCGTCAACAGAAGACAATTCCAGTGATAATTCAAGATATATATCCAGATACGGTTGTCAATTACCTAAACCATTTACTCATTCATTACCGTTACCTAAGTAACGCTTAATAAAACATGTTTTATTTCTTCGACCATATGAAGCAGAAACGAGATTCTACGTTAGTACCACGCATGATATTTTTGTTGTTGTTGTTGTTGCTGCTGCTGCTGCTGCTGCTGCTGCTGTTATACGTGCGTAGGTTTTCTGGACAGTGTCTTTATTCGTTAACTGCTCATGACGTTATATCCCAGCATAATAATAAGTTCTTACTTGTCGCCCGCCGCTTCTTTCCCTGGCTCATCTTTCTTTTCCAGCACTCCTTCGCTCCTGCTGCAAAGGGACCTAGCCCCGGCCGGACAGAATGACAGCCGAGACGTCCCCCCGAGGTGAAGCAGACGGGGGTCCGCCGGTGTTCTCGGATGCCCGACGGCACTGGGCAAACGGTATTTCACACCGAAGTGGAGCAGCTCCCTGAGTGCCAACGACAGCCTAAATTGTAACATTTCAGCCCCGCCGAGCTACCGTGGAGAAATGTACCTTTTACCTTAATGGAAAAGCTGGAAAACGTAAGAGCTGAATACACGTACACCGATAAACAGCTAACTAACCGCCCAGCCAGCTGAGCGTACTGACTGGTTCGGCCCCCAGATTGGCTTTAATACGTGGGCTAAGTGCTTGTTGACGCCTTCTATTACGTAATTGGTCGACACGCTCCGTGGCCCAATAAGTATCGCTTCTACGATTGGTTGACGGCCCTTGAGACGAGCTACGATTGCCTCGGTGTCGCGTCGTTCAAATTATTTTTTTCTCCATAATTTCGTTAGGGACGCTCGCTGCCTCGTGCTAGCGGATTGTGAATGGAAAAAACGGTGACCCACAGGATACTGTTTAGTCTAACGCGCGTCTTTCACGTGTCCAAGTTTAGGTTTACCGCAAGGGAAAAGTCAAATGCTCAAAGACAGGAAAGGGTGTAACTTGATTTAAGTCAATACTGTGTTCTGAGGGCCAGGCAACATGTAAATTATTCATTAATAGCTCGTTCGTGAATACGTATATAGACATATGCTAGTAACATGCATTGATATATAGCAGCAGAATGCCTCATCCATCCATGCATTCATCCATACATGACACCGATCATTTTCAAATCCCTTGTCCTGAACAGGATGATATATGGTACAAAGCAGGGGAACACCTTGGACGGGATATTTATCAAATAAAATGCTTACATTTATTTGTATCTTGGGTGTTTACTTAAATTGCTTAAACCTTTCACTCTCAGTAAAAGGCTATCAATTTGTACCTTCTTGTCACTGGGGCCGTACCCTCAACGGTCTTCCAATTGTCCCCTATAGCTGCAGGTAATTGAACCTTTTAAGGTACAGAAATGGACTCTGAGGAACATCCCCAATATACAAACAACATTAATGTACCCCCAATGGTGCAAAATATTTCTTATAGTCCTTTTTTGTACCTTAAAAGGTACAATTACCTACAGCTATAGAGTACAATTGGCAGACCCTCAATTGGCAGGCTCAGTGACAAGCAAAGGTATAAACCAGTACCCTTTTTCTAACAATCTACACAAAGCAAAGGTCTGTCAAACTGCCTGTGAGGGTGGGGAACGGGTGATGATGGGCTCTTGACCACATATCATCTAGCTCGGCGGGTGCCTTCAGGAGTCTACAGGGTTGAGCTCTGTCAGTGAGGAAAACATCTTCAAGCGACAGGCTGAAGTGCTTCCTCTGAGGTGGCTGTACCTGGCTTACTGAGAATCACATTAATGGTCTATGCTGAGAACAAGTCACGGTCTGCTGGAGTAAGTCAGCAGGTTCTCTCATGCAACCGGGCGGTTGGATTTTTCCACTCAGACCTAATGGATTCTGGTTACAAGTTGTTATCATGTATATCTAGGACACATAATCTACTATACGGGCCCAAACATTGTGCAAATCATGTGGATGCACTTAAACCATACTTAATCTGCAAATTAGAAAAGGTAATTAATGAAACTTTAAATATTGTAATTGTGTGAAATATTGCAGTCGCATGTTACGCCTTTAGCAGACAATATTAGAAATGTTTTGGATTGTATTTCTATAATTTTATGCTGTTTTTAAGGTCAACATTTTCAACAAATACTGGTGTTTGTGCGAATGCATATACACTGCCTGGCCAAAAAAAAGTCACACAGTTTAATATTTTGTTGGGACACCTTTAACTTTGAATTTGCCCATTCATTAATGCATTGTTTCCATGTGCTTATGCTGCATCTCATTTTTTTTTAATCCAGATCTCGTTAAAATCTTGTATTCATGATAGGTGAGTTGAACCACTCCGTAAAGTCTTCTTCATCACATCTCAAAGACTTTCAATGGGGATAAGGTCAAAACTCTGTGCTGCCCAATTCATGTGTGAAAATGGTTCCTTGTGTCCCCTAAACCACTATTTAAAAGTTCGAGCCTTATGAATCTTGGCATTATCATCCATGAATACGTCCATTCCTTTAGGTAAGAAAAAAATTCATTGATAGGATAACCTGGCCATTCAGTACATTCAGGTATTCAGCTGACTTCACCTTATATATATCTAAGCTAAGCTTCAATAAAGATTTTATCATTGGCTTTTAAGTACCTGCTGATATAAACTCAAGCGGTGACTTTTTTTTTTTAGCCAGGCAGTGTATTATGCATAGTCATCGCAAAAGCAAACACACGAAACGTTTTACTTGACGGGAGACTACAGCTATAACAAGCACAATGGTTCCACCTAGTGGGTACAGTCATCCAGCACGTTGTCGACCTACCTGTGTATAGGAAATATAAGTACGACATAGCAATTCAAAGGCAACCTGGCCCTGCACAAGACCACATTCCACGCAATGGCAATCAGATAAACAGTCTATTGTGGAAGTGCACGTTCCGATCCATTTTTGCAAGCAGCATAAAATATAGGTCTATTTATTTTATTACCTAAATTAAAAAGTCAAAAGGTTGAAGAGACCTAAGTAACAACCATTCCAAACGGCTATAGGATGTTAAACCTCTTCTCCAGACTGCAGGTTGAACTAGCTAACCACATAAAAGGGCTTGTTTCGCCACCGTTTCGAAGTAATGTAAACATCTTTTTAAAAAGGTGCAGCAAACGATATTGACACTATAGCAATATCTACTGGTGCAAAGAAGAATCACAACCAAAATAAGATCTTAAAAATAGCTGTAGGCTACATTAATTATAATACGTTCCCATTATTTGGGTTTATATATTTTTGTATAAGTTTCACAGATTTCACAGGACTATAAGAAATATTTTTACCAGATATTAAGACTTATAGCCCTAACAGTGAATGCAATTTCGTAAAAATCATAAACCGTTTAGAATCAATGACTTACAGGCGCCGGTCGAAAATCATGTTGAATGCCATGTATTGTATAAAAGATCATGTGAATTTATAGCGAATCAACTGACATGACAGAAGATAAGAATCACTTCTTTATTTTCGGAAAGCTTTTACCATAATATGCACTTTCCGTCCTTCAAGCAAGAAGATTCACAAACGCACAAATTAGACTTAGCATAATGTATTATGTATAATAGTTACAGCACACCGTGAAACGCCTACACAAAAACTCTAGGACGCCTTAATGAAAAAAGTGAGACGCATGCAGTACCTAGACTAGAAAATGGAGCAATGGATTAATGCAAGGACGCGCATCAGAATGCAGTCGGGACTAATGCGTGTGAGGAAACTGGGGACCGAATCCCCCGGGGGCTCCGGCGTTGACAATTAGAAAAACGCGCTTTACGGGTCGCTCTTTAATGCAGTGCAGACCCATTCGCAACGTTGGGGGGTCCCGCTCGACCCCAGGCTCTGCCCACGCTCTGACCGCCCGTATGTGGTAGAACGTAGGCGGTGGGTGGAGGACGTATCAAGGCTCTGAAACCCTGCAAGCCATTCGTGCGTGCGTACGAAGGCAGCGGGAGCGCGCACGAGGCGGCGGGGGGCAGAAAAAGTGGAAAAAACTGCGTACATGTGAGTCAGCGCGCAGTTTCGGGGAAGGTGTGAATACTATGTTCAGGCTGATGGAGGGAGCCAGTGAGCTCGACTCCGCACTTGTGTGCTCTCCCTACAGGCTGCGATTATTCGCTCTCATTTCGAGGTGTTCGGTGTTTATAAAGTCATTACATGACTAAATGATTGCCTCTTTAAGTCCCACAGTCATGCTGATGTATTTCATCAGTGCAGTTTAAAAAATCTCCAGTTACAGGAGTGTTAATCTGCATAAAACAGTAGCCGACTGCTCCGAAATATGTGCAGATGGAAAGAAGGTGCTGGCAGTGGTGGCTTAATGTTTAGGGAAGCGCACTCGTAATTGGAAGATTGCAGGTTCAAATCCCCACCCAGCAAGACACCACTGAGGTACCCTGAGCAAGGTACCACCCCCAAGCACTGCTCCCCAGGCGCTGAATTAGCTGCCCCCTGCTATGTCACGAAAGTCACATTTGGGTTAAATGCAGAGGACACATTTCGTTGTTGTGCACTGTGTGCTGTGGTGTGTCAACAATGACAAATAATCACAAATAAATAAAAAAAGATTAAAAAAAAAGAAAGTCACAGAGAGTACACTGCATTCACATTGTGTTAGTGTCAGGGCACTGTTTTTCATTAAAATGCCCATGGTCAGTCATCATGGTGCTCACAGGTCAGACCAAGCAGCATTGTTTCAGATGTACATCTCTGGGGCTGGGATTAGAGATTTGGGTGAGGGCTTCTTGTTTTGAGTTATGTCTTCCTGGACCTCAACTCGATTGAGCTGAATATGTATCTTGCCATTGTCTCATCATAGATGTTATTCTGTTCTATGTACATGACAAATAAAGGAATCTCGAATCAGTTCAGCAAGTGCTTTAGAACAAAAACCCCAGCCCTGGTTAAAGCCTGCCACTATGGGCCTGACGCCGCAGACACACGCGATGCCCACGGGACGCCCATACGATGTCGTCACGCCAACTTTGATGACGCCTTCTTGGGTCATGTGACTCCACGCACTAGTCTGGTAAACACGCATCAGCAGACAGTGAATTTCCACATATGCAAATGGTCTCCCTGCCCTCGTCTCTTGTGAACGTTGACATGACTAAACTGGTGAGAATGAGGAATCCCCCAACACGGGGTTGGTGAAAGAGATTCAGGTAAGGAGCAGTAAGCTTTTGCCAAAAGTGAGATGTTGTGATTTCCCAAAATGAAAAACAAACCTACTGTCTAAAATCCTACCTTGTCCAATGACTGCATTTTCTAGTAAGAATCTGACTAAAAGTATAATGCAGTTTTACTATGCATCAGTAGGACTTGTTTTCTTAGACAACTTTATATTTCAAAACATATAAAATGTATAAAACATGGACATAAAGACCCCAGAATAAGATCTCAAAAAATAGAGTTTAATGTTTATGTGCTGTATAACAAATTAAATATATTAGTGTTTACAAAATAAGTTCAGCTTAACGGACTTGAGTGTTTTTCACCAAAATAGTGACAGGATGCAGAATGGAGCAGCATAGGCATTAAAACTGTAGTGTAAAAGAACAGACAATTAATACATTAAAAATTACATATATGGACAAATCTAGCTGAATGAATAACCTCGTGTCATTCTCCTTTTTTGTATCATACTTTTGAATCTGAAATTCACGTCATGTACTGCGCAAAAGCCTTAGGCCAAAGAAAATTGTGTTTGTCAAGTAGATTGGCTTAGCCATTTCAAAACCTCTCCTCAAATCACCCCTGTTAATTAACTGTGTTAATTAAGTGAGCTGGTGGTGAAATTTAACACATGCTTGGAATGACTAGCTGGGGTTCCCCTTAAGAGAGTTTTGGGAACCAAAACTAAATTCTTCTAACCATACAAGAACTTTTCTGGACATCAATACAAGTTCCAGTTACTTTTTATTGCAGCAATATTTATTTATCAATATATATCCTAATATTAAATAGTGTTTAATCTCTGAGCAAATATTCCTAAACGGCCCAAGTAAACAACTTTAAACATCATTTGCTTTGATTGCTTAAGACTTTTGCTGATTTAACTGTATTTGCTACGCATTGAGATCTTCAGGTTTTGAATACCTATAATATTCTGTTCAACTCCATTAATTTCTATGGGGAAAATTTATATCGCAACATGACGACCTTAACCCCTTCCCAGGCCTATCCTTAACCATAAGTAACCAAACAAAATACGAGACTTTTGCCATTTTTACTTTTTTGATTGCAGTCACAGATCTTTGTGGGTACCTGAGGAATGGTCCCCACAATGTCAAAATAACAGGTTTTTACTACATTTGGTCCCCACAATGTAATATAAACCTAATTCTCTCTCTCTCTCTCTCACACACACACACAAACATACATTAGGAATCACAAATAGGTTTCTTGCTTTTGCAAAATCCAAGAAGTCTGTCCTCTTCGCAGACAATACAAAAACCAACACACACACATTTTCCCCCAGACTACTGCATGTGATTTAGGACAGAGCTGGTCAGTGTTAATAAAAATAAGAGGTATTTAAATGGCAAATGTCTGAAAGAACAGCAACACATAGAGCTTGAATTCTGGTGATAGAACATGTGTGGCATGTCAGAACGTTACCCAGGGTTGCTAAAATGACAGCTGGTAAATTACTGTTAATGAACGTATGTTGATCAATGAGTCGGAAAAGTGGATAGGTGTTGACATGGACAATCTATTTGGCGTAAACACAAGGAACTAGGACTTTAATGCTAAATCTAACAGCACAGAACACCAAATTGAGAGTGGAAAAACATCTACGTTGGTTACAGCTAAACTCTGCACATCATTCAGAAGTAGGACTACAGCTACGCTAGTCAACACAGAAGTTTCATATGCTGAACAATTGTGGTGGTGGGACAATAATACACTTTCACTGGGTTTCTCTAAATACACTTAATTAGTATTCATCTACTAATAAACGTACTGGAAAGTGGTTCATGAAGAAAAGAGGTATTAAACCCTGCTTTCTGAATCAAGTGACTATGTTATCTCCTTTTGGCTATATACACTATCTCCTCTTAAACTATTTAATAAATATATGGGCTTTGTTGGCCACGACACAGACATTGGAACATGATAAGACTTCATCTGCAATAGTGGAGAGCTCATTGCACCTGCAAGTAGCAGATTTGTCTTTCAGTTACAAATCTGTGAGCCAGCAGCTGAGCGCGCAGTGTGAACCTTTCCAGAATAAAAAACACTCTCTGGCCTCGAGTCCTCTGTGTTACACAGCTGCTCGTGGGTGCATATACAGTAGAACCCCTTAATGTTCTTCTCACTTCTGAGGAAATATAATACACAGCACATATAAATAACGGCGACAACACAGTTCCAAGGAACGACATATATACAAAATGAGAGTCACTCTGTATGAACAGAGCACCAGTGAGAACAGGACCTGTACACTCAGCTAGAAGGATACCCTGTCCTGGACCCCACCGTGACCCCCTTCCTCCACTGATGTACATTAAAAGCACTTTGGTATAAAGAAAGTTAAAAGAAATGTTTGTTTCTGAGGCAACATTGGTTGTTAAGGCTCTGCGGGTCAGTGTTTGGACAGACTGGCAGTGATCTGGGCAGCTATCTGGAGTCCTCAGGCTCCACCTTGATGGTCTTTTTGACTTCAGAGAGGTTAAGGATGCCCTGCAGGGAATCTGTCCTGATCCTCTGCTCTGGGGGAGGAAGAGAGAGATATAGGGTCAGAACCTCTTCTGCCATGGGGAGAGGTGTGGTGGCATGGTGTGGGTAGGGCTCACCTGAGCTTGTGGGCGGGGCCCTTCCCACGCTGAGGGAGTGCCGTCTCTTCAGCTCGCTGGCCAGCTGCCTCCCCAAGGGCAATTCACCCTCGGTGATACTCCACCGCAGCCCGGAGACCCTTGGGCTGGGTAGCTGTTCTGCTGTGGGGACATGCGTATTAGCGAGAACATTAGCAGGAACAGTCACATGATCACCCACATGGGCTGCATGTGGGGCACCCTGTTGCTGTCCTGGGGAATCAGCAGAGGTTGGGAGGTGTCAGCAATGGGACAGAAAGAAATCATCCTGCCAAATCTTTAATTAAAAGCATATTTAATTTATTTCTAATTTAAGTGCTCGTATCCAAAGAAACATAGAAACTCCACAACCGTTCCCAGAGGAAAGGAGCGGCTGGCGCAGTGTGAGGATGAAGCCTGTGACTAACAGGATGAGGGACATAATGAGTAAAAACACCTGAGGAGGGCCGCCTTGGGCTGGGCACGTCACTCCTACATGCAACTGAACGGCAGAAAGCCGGCATGCTGCGTTTCCCCCTTGGGCACGTTAGAAACGGACAAATCCTCTTAACTCCCTACGTGTATCCTGATTGGCCTGCTCCCTCCCAATCGCAAACTCCTCACATCGGCAGGGAGCAGACCTGCAGTATCTCCTGGGCAGGCAGTTGATTTGGATAAGATGCTGGAATCCTGGTGCCACCTATGTGCTTTTCCCTCCAACTGGGAACACGGTGGGCGAGTCAGCAGATTAAGGACCCTACTTCACCCATTGTGAGACATGCCCATGTCCATACCTTGCTGCTCGGCCTTGTCCGTGGCAACCCCATTGGGGTTGAGGTGCTGGGGAAGTGGCTTGGGGCCCCGTGGAGGGAGCATCCAGTTGAGTGTGTGGAGTCTCTCGCGGGCTGCAGCGTCCTGCAGGACCTCCATCTGCTTGGCCAGCAGCCGCTCCAGCTGCATCTGTTTACACAAACAGACATGAGTTTTAAATTAAAAATGTCCGCCTGTCTCCAAAGCTATTTGCAGATGAATCTCCATTTTGCATCCGTGTCTCCGGTGAAGCTTACCTGGGTCAAAGACGTGGGCAGGCAGCCTGCTGTCGCCGCCCTGGTGGTCAGAATGCTCTGCATTGCTGCCTCACCTCCCGTGGGCGTAACGGGGGCCAGTCGCTCTTTCAGCATCTCCTGCCGTGTGCAGATCTGCTGCATGGCCTCGTGGAGGTCAAACACGCCCTCCTGAAAACATCAAGGGTGGAAACACAGTCAGAAATATCAGTACAGACTTGCTAAGAGTCTGTGACATCCCTGAAGAACTGAGCCTGACCTACAGTCACCCCCAGGGTTCTGAACAGCCCTACCCTGCAGCCACACAGCCCCCCACATCTGGCTGTGTTACCCCAGTCGGACTGAACCGCAGAGGAAGACCAGCGGAACAAGAAGTCTGTCTTAGGTAGAATGGGTCCTGAGAGACTGGACTACAGGAAGACCAACACGTCCAAAACACATTTTATGGTTACTGTCCAGCTGCATTTTATCTAGAAATAACTGGATTATTTTCTGTTTTTAAATGAGTCTGTGTGTGTGTACCCTGCAATGATCTGACAACCCATCCAGGGTGTACCCCAGCCCTGTGCCCTGTGCTACCAGAGAGGAACTCCTGGCCCTCCAAAGATCCTGTTCATGGTAAAAAATTGAATGGATGGAAAGAGGAATGTATGGTTTTGTATCCTTGCTTCCTGATGGATCGTTACCCTCGCAATGATTTTGCTTGGGCATACTGGATCAGATAGGGTGCCGTGCTCAAAAGGCTAAGAGCAACCAGAGGGGTTTTTCTTAGATGAATGTGGCGGTATGTTTGTGTGCACGTGTGTGTGATGCTGGCGCGCGTGTGACGCCTCGCCCCACTGTACTTTCTGGCAGTGAGTGCCATGCGGCTCTGGGTGACTCCAGCAGCGCCCACTCGCTGATGTCACAGGCACCTTCAGACCGGCAGTGGGCTGCAGTGTGATTTAATCTGGGCTCTCCATCGTCAGCGTGGGTCAGCCTTAAAGACGGTAAGCTATGGAGGGGGGGCTCCAGGGGACAGGAGCCACAACTGTAAAGGAGCTGGGGGGGCATTTGATGGGGTTCACGGGGGACATTTTAGTCACTTAACTGGTTATTTATTTAGAGCATGAAAAACGCAGATTGAATATTAATAATGCAGAGGTGGGTGATCTGAGAAAGTTAAAAATCCATGTTACAAGACGATCAGTCAAATTAGAAGCATGGTGGGAGGGGATTTGGGGGGGGGGGGGGCATTTTCAGCTTACTGGTACCTTGCTTTACTGGCAGAACCCTACGATGTGGGTCTAACTGGGCCAACAGGAGGCGACAGCACAATTCTCAGGCAAAGACAGATCCCAAAGCGGGATTATGAGATGAAGGTTCTCCTGGTGGGAAGGCTGAGACAAGACGTGAGCTGTATTACAACCAAAGGTGAAGTGGATGGCCTAATCTGAAGTCCGACCCCGTGGGCAGGTCATTGCGGATCTGTCAGTTTTATTCACGTTATCTCTGCAGGGGTCAGGAGTCCTCCCTCACATGCTCAGGCCAGAAGGATGACCCCCTGAATCTACTCATCTCCAGCTCAAACGCATTAACCTTCCTGCTCTGGGCTTTTCCCCCTGGAGAGTGATGCGATGCTGTGAGTTAACTGTTTCACCAACAAGGCTCCATGACCCCCACTGACCTCTGTTTTTATCCTCTTTGATGAAGGATCTTCCCTGTTGCCACAATGAGGTCTGCAGGAAGACAGAGGGATGCATTTAATTACCCTGGAATCTCTGGAAAGTGAACAGGCTTGCATGATCTTTCACACACGACCCACTTGTGTGTGAAAGATCATGCAAAACGCACTTAGCCTCCTTAACAAGTAATTTTCTGCACAAAATCAACAGAATTTTAATTAGTGTTACACTGGGTGTCTAAAATCTGACAATCTAGTGTTGGGTAGAAAGTACTATATAACCCAAACCTGCAGGGAGCAGTTAGAAGGAGCCAGCAGATCCTCACCTGCTGCTCTGGTAGGTGTACTTGTAGGTGACCTCGCGGGACACCTGGCGAGCCAGACTGAACAGCTCGTCCCGACGTGTTAGGAGAGCCAGGTTCCGCATGCACAGCTGGGCGGCTGCCTCATTCACCGTCAGCTGAGGGGGATGGTGGCCAGTTGTCAGATTGCCCCCCAGTATAACAGGGTAGAAAGAATTTCCCAGATAGGAGGTTGGCCATCAGCCTCCGGCAGGCTCACCTCGTGCAACGTCAGCTGCTTGCCGTCTCTCCGCTTGGAGTCGAAACGCCCATAGATGGCACTGTACTTGCGCACCTCCTCCTCCCGTTGTGGGTCCTCATCAGTCATGTCGAAGATGTGCCCTACCATCTTGGCCAGCTTCTTGTTGCCCTTAAGGAGGTCCCGTACCTCGGCTGGCTCTACCTTGGGCAGAGTTTGTGCCAGGCGTGTCACACACTCTGTGACGGAACGCACAGCAGCAGTGTCCAGCACCTCCAGCGGGGAACCAGGAACAGCAGGTTCAGCCGGGGACAGGCCAGGCTCAGCCCAGGATCGTGGTGAGGCGGGGGCAGGCTCAGCATCGAGGGCCATGTCTGAGTCGGACCCGGCCCGCTCCACTGGCTTATAGACAGGAACACTACAGACAGGGGTGGCCCGCGGCTGGCTGAACAGTGCCGGGTTAGTGACCCAGTCTCGCAGTGCCTTCTGTAGGCGCCGCACATGCAGCGGCTTGCTGGCCATGCCCACCAGTGCCATGATCTCCAGGAATTCATCTTCGCCAGCCTCACACAATTGCTGCACGTCGTCACCACCCTGCTGAATGAAGGCCTCGTAGTAGCACAGCAGGTTGGCCCTCTGCAGGATGCGGTAGAGCTGCAGCTCCCCGAGGGTCCTGGGCAAAGCTGCCGCCATGCCTGGGGGGGGGGGAGTGGCAGGGAATCAAACTAAACTATAAATAAAGCCAGAGAAGCACACAGGAGCACAAGTGAGCTGCTTCAGGATCTGGAAACTGTGCTGATGTTGTACATTTCGGAAAAACATACTTCACTGTGGAAACGGTCCAGTGCACGGAAGCAAAACCAGGCCACAAAACAAACAGATTGTCCTATCAGTCATCACACAATGAAGATGCATGTTTCTGTAAGGCAGGGGTGTCAAACTCCAGTCCTGGAGGGCCGGATCCCTGCACATTTTTTGTGTTTACCCTCATTTAACACACTTGATTCAACTCCTTGTGCTAATTACCACACAGCTCTTCAGCTGAATCATTTGTGGGGGAACAGGGAAAGAAGTAAGCTACACAGGGCTCCAGCTACCCAGGAATGGAGTTTGACACCCCTGCTGGAAGGCAACAAAGCAGTTCAGATCGACCCAGGAAAAGCATGGCTCTCTCCCACAGAGCCCTGCATTTTGTGGGTGTTTGGTCTCTTCATTTTTATGTTTACTGTGCTTAATGTCACGGTATGACAAAATTCATATTCATTGTTATTGAAACATCTGCTTGTTAAATCTGATAGTTGTGTATTTTTAGGGAACGAGTTTGCTAAAACAGGTTGTGTTAAATCCTTGATGCAGGAGCACCGGGCGCCCTCCCAGCCTGGGGGGGGCGCCCCGCCTAGCTCTGCAGCACGCCGCCTTGGGGCGTGTGTGGGCGTGCCCTCCTGGCACAGGCGCCGTTCAGCTGGGCTGCAGCCAATCCGAGTCTCACCAGGTGAATTTACTGCTCCCGCGTTAAAGGTAAAAAAAGGTGGAACTCAGAGCAAAAGATAATGTCCTCCGCCCACTACATGTTTCCTCCATGGGTGTATAAACCGCGGGCATTATCCTCTGCAGCAGGGCGGTGAAAGGACCGCACTCATTCACGTCAGGAGAGCTTTCGTCCTTCTGTGTCCTTGTCACCTTGAGTAAGGTGACCCAGCCAGATACCTTAATCTGCAAAACAGCGTACGGCATGGAACAGCGATAATTCAGTGACACAAGGACGGTCACAAGCCCCAACAGTCTCAGGACAGGGTGTATACAAGCACCGTTTGGGGCGCGGACGTCCGGAAGGGCTGTCCCGTATGACTCCCCATCGTCACTCCCTAATATACACTCTCCAGAGAACCTCACTTTCTGCTGCAACCGTTACTTTCTTTCACTGTTTATTTAGCCTGTAAATAAATATCACCTATGTGCGGGGTGCCATCTGCCACAGCAGCACATTAGTACATGATATTTATGCATAAAAAACAGCACGGCACCTTCAGTCCTGCCCGATCCCCAAACTGAGGAAACAAGTTTTGATGCAACCGTGCACAGCAGGCACCTAAAATTCACCAAAATCCGCACCGATACTAGCATAATGTTAAAAGAGCCACACGCCTACCGAAACAGTCACTTTTATGTTAGACTTAAAGTTAGGAGTTGTACCCTATATAGCACCTGCGCCGTGCTAATATACAGATGTCAACCTCAAACACACTGAATACATCCTAAACTTAAAGCACGGCATCCGATCGGTCATGGTCTACAAGCATGCTTTCAACAAAACAAAACGGTACAAAGAATGAAATAAGCTGCAGGGTTTCCTTTCCACACTGTACTTAGTTTGTATGGAAATACAATAAGTAGCTGCATGAGGTCTTTAAAACAGATCAGGTCTCACCTTCAGCCGTGCGCATCTCCTAAAACCGGGGCTTCGTACACTTACAAAGTTTAGGGACAATCGCTCTCTCCTTAACCAGAATCCTCTCGGTGAAGTTACCAACTGCACGATAACCTGCCCTTTTCCTACATGAAGGAGAAGTTCAGCGGGACATAAAGGGAAAAGACGCTTTCTTATAATGTCCTATTTACACAGCTGCGCCCGCACGCCCACCATGGTGGATCTCACTGGGATTCACCCACACGGAGGCGAAACCCGTCCACTGTGATCCGATGTGCCCGATGGAGATCAGCATAAGCCCAGTCTCCGTGTGCGCAAAGCCCATGGCGCGCTCCCGCGGCGCGGTCACATCCCCCTTCACCTACCTCTGTAAAGCTCCTGCGTTCCGGTTTCCGAGTTGTCACTGACTCCTTTCGCGGTTTTTTAACCAGATGTCCACCCGGGATGAGGGTAGGGGGTAAGGATGCGACAAAAGCGCACAGGTTTCGCTGATGAGTCGGGGACGCTCACTGTAACGAAGGCGCGCCGGTTCTCTGTCTGTTGCCTTTCGCACTGCGCACGGGTTTAGTACAGAGGGCCGGGGCGCCGCTCGGTTTTCCCCCCTCCTCCCCTGCCGCTAGCATTGGGATATTCCGCTCTCGCTGCATCGCCGTGTCACTCCCACGCCTTTGCGTGACGCAGATCCTGGCGTGGGCGACAGCGAGCGTGGGAGGAATACCGAGCGGGGCGGCGGCGAGGAGAGGCCCTCTGGGGGGGGGGGACGCACCTACAAACAGCCCCAGCGAGAACAGCATACATGGATACACATTATACAGAAAGCAGCTCCATGTCACTTTGATTCTTATTTATTGTATGATTACTTATGATATTGTTGCAATTGCAGTGCAGCTTTAAGAACGCAGTTGTGCGCAGTCTGATCGCTACCTCAAGTGTTGACTTCTCCTGTTCTCTGCTGTTTTGGATGAGCCTGGTGAGCCTGGAGTTACTCTCTTCACTCTATAAACCGTTAAACCATAATCTTAAGCGTCAAATAACACAGCCCAAATCAGTGGGTGTCTGGAGGGCGAATTCTACTGCAGCATAATAATTTACATGATCAAAATGACAAAAAGTTTGATAAAGCACCCTGCCTGCAGGCCACCTCCCCAGCAGAGGTTGCTGGAATTGCTGATTTCTTCCTAATATGGCCTCAGAGTCTTCCTTTTGTTAAATAAATCCTTGAAGACAAGCCGATCTCCTTCATGCCGAGCGTTCAGGTAGGATGACACATGGGTGGCTTCAGAGAGCCCCACTGCTCCGCAAACAGCACGTCTACGTGATGTTTTGACAGCTGATCTGCTGGAACATCACTGCACTGTGTAGGCTTCTCTCTGGGTGGGGGGGTGGGGGGGGGTGATGGGGGGAATTGCTGTTTCAGCCCCACCCCCTCCCACATGGCAAGTCATTTGATACTTTGTCAGTACTGCCACCAACCTACCCCCCGACCTCACCCAAATTCATCTCCCCCCAATTACCCCCCCACTGTTTCTTGTCATGGTGACTGAAGCGCAGTAGCACCTAATCACAGAGCTGTGTATCTGTGAAGGAGGGGGGGGCTCCATCAGTCCCACACGCAGGACGCAGGCGCGCTGAACTCCAGGGTACCTGCACTCCCACGCATGCTGATTCAACCACGAAGCCGCCATCACACATCCAGGGGCATGGACCTCGGCTATGTGTCCGCATCCCAGCCGGAATGCCTCCTGGGTTCCTGTATTCCTGAGCTGCCTCTCCTCACGTCCCAACGTCAGGGTCAAGACATCAGTGTCTGTCTGTCTCAAAACATGTCATGCCTGGGAGGGTTTCGGATGATTTGAAAAAAAAAAAAAAAACACCCAAAATAATCAGTTTGTAAATAATAAAGTGTGCTGTATGAGGTGTTCAGAAATTTAGGCAAATCAAGATAGGATTCACCCAGGAGAGATGTTTCAGTCTGTGATGCACATAAACACTCCCTGCTTCCAAATTCCCTGCTTGCTTTGCTGTGCTCCTGACCTGGGGTGGAGAATATTCAGGAGCGAAGGTCCCTTCAGCTTCCTGTCGCCATGGGAAATGGCAGGAAATGCAGTGAGAGAGGGGTGTGGCTAAAAACACTGACACAGCCTGACCATCGTGGCTATATTTAGGAATCAGAAGACCTACAGCAGACGGAGACGAGGGAGGCTGCTCTATCATGCCCAAGCGGGGAGTTTATCTCCCTATCTTAACCTGCAAAATACAGCATCCAATGCATCTATCATATCACTGATACATTTTTAAAACTCTATTTAAGTTATAGCTAAATTTAAACTCTCTAGGGTAATCATGGATACAACAATGGAAAGTAAATAGTGGTAAACATGACTGGAAGAGAGAGTCTGAAGAAACTCTCTCAGAATAGGAAGAGCAGGCTGCGGAGTCCTCTATCTAAACAAGAGATTGAGAACATCCGTCCCTCAAGTCATTCTGGTTTGGGGATTTTATTGTTTGTGCATAGAAATATGGTCTTCATGAGGGCTGCCCACCATCTTCTGCCCTAGAAGCACTTGACCACAAAAGCAGGGTTATGCCTGCAGGATGCGACCTTGTTGTATGAAGTGGTGTCATATGGAGACCCGGACAGCAGCATGTGGGCCACACCTGAGGCGGTACGTCATACTGGCTAACGAAGGGCACAGACCACACACCACACTGGACGTTGCCTGGGCTTCATGACGGGATGTGGAGCGTCAGCATGACACTGACTAGTGACGGTGACAGAGATCCAGTGCAGTGCCAATGCAGTTTGTGCTTCAGCTTATTACTGCATGCTGTTCTTCCCAGGAAAACATCCGTAACACAGATGAACCAACACTATTACACTCAGATATGAAGCAAATTAGGAACAGCATCAGGCGGACTGTATAGGCACAGACGCTGGAGCTAACATTTTATTATTCCAAAGTGACATAATTTTTTTTGAGAAATTAGGGTCAGACAGTCCCTGGAGCAATCAAGGTGATGGGCCTTGCTCAGGGGCCAACGGTGAAATAACTCTGCTGAGTCTGAGATTTTAGCCAGCAGTCACAGGTATAGTGCCCTAACCTGCTGAATCACACACCCCCATAACATGATTGATATACACTCACCTAAAGGATTATTAGGAACACCATACTAATACGGTGTTTGACCCCCTTTCGCCTTCAGAACTGCCTTAATTCTACGTGGCATTGATTCAACAAGGTGCTGAAAGCATTCTTTAGAAATGTTGGCCCATATTGATAGGATAGCATCTTGCAGTTGATGGAGATTTGTGGGATGCACATCCAGGGCACGAAGCTCCCGTTCCACCACATCCCAAAGATGCTCTATTGGGTTGAGATCTGGTGACTGTGGGGACCATTTTAGTACAGTGAACTCATTGTCATGTTCAAGAAACCAATTTGAAATTATTCGAGCTTTGTGACATGGTGCATTATCCTGCTGGAAGTAGCCATCAGAGGAACAATGCTCAGGTAGGCCATGGCATTTAAACGATGCCCAATTGGCACTAAGGGGCCTAAAGTGTGCCAAGAAAACATCCCCCACACCATTACACCACCACCACCAGCCTGCACAGTGGTAACAAGGCATGATGGATCCATATTCTCATTCTGTTTACGCCAAATTCTGACTCTACCATTTGAATGTCTCAACAGAAATCGAGACTCGTCAGACCAGGCAACATTTTTCCAGTCTTCAAGTGTCCGATTTTGGTGAGCTCGTGCAAATTGTAGCCTCTTTTTCCTATTTGTAGTGGAGATTAATGGTACCCGGTGGGGTCTTCTGCTGTTGTAGCCCATCCGCCTCAAGGTTGTGCGTGTTGTGGCTTCACAAATGCTTTGCTGCATACCTCGGTTGTAACGAGTGGTTATTTCAGTCAAAGTTGCTCTTCTATCAGCTTGAATCAGTCGGCCCATTCTCCTCTGACCTCTAGCATCAACAAGGCATTTTCGCCCACAGGACTGCCACATACTGGATGTTTTTCCCTTTGCACACCATTCTTTGTAAACCCTAGAAATGGTTGTGCGTGAAAATCCCAGTAACTGAGCAGATTGTGAAATACTCAGACCGGCCCGTCTGGCACCAACAACCATGCCACGCTCAAAATTGCTTAAATCACCTTTCTTTCCCATTCTGACATTCAGTTTGGAGTTCTGGAGATTGTCTTGACCAGGACCACACCCCTAAATGCATTGAAGCAACTGCCATGTGACTGGTTGATTAGATAATTGCATTAATGAGAAATTGAACAGGTGTTCCTAATAATCCTTTAGGTGAGTGTATGTATGCATGTATATAGGTATGTGTGTGTGTGTGTGGATGAATTGATGGTTGGATGGATTGATGGATGGATGGATTGATGGATGGATGGATTGATGGATGAATGGATGGATTGATGGATGGATGGGTATTTACAGATTTACAGGTGAAAGTTAGACCTAGCCAGCTGTCTAGCCCAACCCCCCATCTGCCCAGGCCCATCATAAATACGTATGTAAGTGCCGGTATAGCGAAGTGATACAGGCTATTGCTGAGCAAAAGAAGCTTCCAGATGTGTGTTTACAGATGCAGGTGACCGAGGTCAACAAGAAAACATGTGAAGGTTCCTGCGGATACTCCCGTCGGATGCATTATCCCAGCACTCCGGTGTGTTTCAAGCTGCATCAGTGCTCTCCATCCCAGTGGACATGCAGGACTTCTATGCACACCTGTCCTTCTGGATGCCGGAGTCCCACTTGTTCGGCCAAAATGAGCCCACACGCTATCAAGTTCTGGTCCAGGATCTGTCCACATTTCTGCCAGCTGGACAAGGAGGCAAACATCAGCACCTTTCCCTGGATGTTTCCGTGAAGATTTCCATGGCCGGATCTGTGCCTTTCCTGCTTCCCTGGCCCAGAATCTAAATGAACCCAAGAGATTACAATTGCATGCCTCAGTACCCTGTTTACTGCACAGGGAGCCTTACATCCCAACTTCCCATTCTTCATATAAAATATCAAAACCTTCTGGGAGGAGGCTGTGTAAGCAGCTTCAAAGTAGCAAAACGCTCTTTCAAAACAGACCCTGCCAGGCTCCCAGGCCCCCAAATACACAGCCATGTTCATTTACATTTCTGTGTGAGAAACTTCACAGATAGCTTCAGGCAAAACCTCTTTTTCTTGGTGGGGGGGGATGTGTCTAATAGATATACAAATTGCCAAGGAGCCCTAAAAATAATAGCAAAGGCAACAGAAGATACATTATTCAGCTTAAAATGAGTCAAACGCAAATGTGAGATTTTGAACCCAGAACATGTTTAACCGCTGAAAAC